AAAATACTCAAAAGGGAATTAGCATGGAACAAATCCATCGAATCCAATCAGAAAACAGAGAACTTTCGTGATAATCATGTAAGAGTACACAAAAAATATTCGTTAGTTTTTTCAATAAACTCTTACAGACAAAGACTGATGATATATTGATTCTCTGAGTACTATCTGGGAATGCACTAAATCCATAGATTTGAATTTGGATTTGGGCTTTGGTGCATGGTTATTTACATGTAAATAGATTTGGATTTGGATTTGGTGCATCCACAGTATTATTATCTATTATGTGTAGCCCAAATATGAGATCTAACTATCATTGTATAAAGGAAAAAATGAAAGGAATACTGTGTTCTGTTACTTTTGGTCCACCCTGTATGTTTTGATTAAGAAGCGAGCAGACTAGAGTATATTCTCCTGGAATTCTTCAAATGATTTAGATTGTATGATGACTTTGAATTAGAAGAACGACTGACTTCTGAAAAAGTCATAATATTCTTCTATTTTGTATATTTGTCTTCTTTTTCTCTCTCCATTTATCTACAATGAAGAATGGTTTTTCTTGTTAGAATAATACTATTTTTTTTCTAGCATCGTCTCTTCTACTCTCATCTGTAAACCAATATCATCATGACATAGATAGAAAATGAATAATGATTGAAGCTTGATCATTACTGTAGATGTAATCGTTATTATTAATTTATCTCTTTGAAAATTCTGGCGACCTAGCCAATAGATACCTCTGGCTTCGTCAGTAATTACATCGCTGGCGAAAGACAATCGAGAAGTGTGTGTGAAACATTGGATATCATTGTTTGTCGACGAAGATCTCTTATCTTGACTAAGGAGGACACTAAGTCAATATTTCAAGTCATATTTATTCAGATAAAGAGAAAGACGAGCGAGAGGAGAAAGACAAAGATAGAAGTATAAGTTATCTACATCTTGCAAAGGCTACAAAGAGTGACAACTGAAGGTGAGTGTTTATTGACGAGAATGAGCTCGTCGATTGATGCATCTTCGATGCACATATTTAATTTTGTACTAGTAGAGTATGCGATCGTAATTCTGCTATAAGAAAGTTAAACTTCTCAGTGTTTGATCTATTACTGGGCTGAATGACAATGCACAAAGACTATTTATAATTTTTAGCATCAATGAAACATTTGTGCATCAATTCATAGGCACCTAATCATAAACAAATGAGTATCTGTTTCATGAGGATCTCGATAGTACAAGCAGATGCAATTTCTATTGTGTTCTTAATTTGTCCATTTTCACGGAAAATGGCATGTCTCTTAGAAAGAAACTCGATTTGATAGAAAAGATTGTCTCTGTTTGAGAGAAAAAAAACATTCGAGTCGTTTCGCCACGGTACATTGATACGTTTTTTTCTCAAAACAAATGGAGTTCATCTTCTCCATGGTCTTGTTCATGAAATACAGCTTTTTTCTAAGAAATATACCATTTTATGTGGGAATGGGAAATTAGAACACAATTATTCAAAGCGTAAAAACATTAGAAACATAAGAGAAAGTGTAAAAAACTGTGTCTGTTCATATTGATACGATTCTTACGAAAGAGAGATTCATTCTTTTATAATCAGATATATATGAACTGATGTCGAAAAGTTTGTTCTATTCTGGAAACTATACAAATAGTCTGTGTGCAATTTCATCTAGCCGAATTCACACTATGGTTCTTTTGATTTCAATCTGAGTTTAGAAGAAAAAAATCGACACTCGATTTCTAACTGAAAGGCGGGACATGCAGATCTTTAGAATTATGATGATGATATGCACAGTACAACATATCATCATCATCATTCTAAAGATCCGCAGTTTTCGTAAACAACGGTGGTGTTTTTTTTCCAAAATTCAATTTGAAATAAAAAAGACTATAGACTTGCCGAATTATAGATCAAGCACAGAAAAGACAAGCTCTTGTGATAGAATAAGCACCACTCACTCTAGATAGTCTTTTGATTGAGAATCGATTCAGCTGAGAAAACGAGAAACATCAGTTAGACGATTTCCGAGGTACAGAGCGTTGTCCAGCAGATATGAGAAAGATATAGTAATCATTTCGGAGTTTATATTCGCTTATATCCCAAAGAGTATCAAAAGCGAATGAGTGCTTGACCGTCAATGATTTGGCTGAAGTCACGAGTGAACACTAAAGTCAATTCAGATTTTCCACCACCAGTTTCAACAGCCATTACTTTCAGTTTGAGATGTTCGAAAAGCCCGATTTGAAAGTCGAGAAATAACAGATACTTATGAACACAAACACACGTCAGCTAGTCAATGATCTCTATTGCAATTTCTACAATTTGACAAACTTAGTAGCCTTCTGCTGAACTAGAAGAAAAGAAATTAATTCGATCCAACTATCTGAAAATCAAAACGTTCTTGAGTCTGGTGGGAATCTATTAAACTGAAAAATACATCATCGAAACTCTGCTTCTCTCCATCTCTTTGTCATATTGATATCGGTTTTGTTTGTCAGGTACTGAAACAAACAGTAAGACAACTACTAGAGTCGGTACAACTGAAATCACAGCGAATAAAACAAAAGGTGTTAGTGGTATAAGGACAAACAAAGCAAAAATTCAAAATGAACGAAGCTGCAAGATCAGACAAGAACACAGGTATGTTCTATGTGATAGCAGTGGATCGAGACATTGTTTATCTTTTCCTCTTCACAGTGATTTGAATCGTTTTCTTAGCAGTGGTGTACAACTGGAAAACTAGATTCAGCTGAAAAAAAGCACTTTTCAAGTTTAAAATTTTTGTTCTCGTTTCGCAGGTTCGTCTACGACATGCTTTCGGTGCGCTCATCAAGAGTAGCTAACGATACGGATCTCAGCTTTTTTGCGTTGGTTTGATGTCTGGATAAACAGTAGTTTCTTTTCTGCACCTACTCTGCAAACCTCAACGGTTCCGATGGTGCACCGCGGTACAACATGTTTTGAGTTTTGATCACAAATTTTATTTGAGAGTTGTTTTTAGCTACATCGGAGCTATTGAATTCTTCCTGTTTAACTCTTGTACTACCAATGGGATTCCTAAACTGTCAACTTAATTTTTGAATCGCATTGAAATTCAAAACTTACGTGGAGGGTTTACGAGTCAAAAATGATCCACCTTGGTAGTACAAAGTTTAATTTATTTAAATGATATCCTCGCAAAGATCACGAATGCAAATTTAATGTCAGTAGTTCATGGAATGCAGACGGTCATCATTTCATCCAAAATCTAGAAGGAGAAGAAAACTTGAATATAATTTTTTCAAACTTCGAAACTCGTCTGTTCGATAGGTCCAACTTTTCGAGTTCTATACTTATAAAACACTTTAAAACTACAATTTTTTGAAAAATTTTGAAATAGAGGACAGAAAAGAGTTACCGAACTTTCGAAAAAGATGCGCATATCAGAATATAATAAATCTTAGAAAATAAATTGCATCGAAGGTCCATCACTCCTCGCTCATGTTCTGCAGTGAACACAATATGAATTATATTCTGTTCTATTGAAAAAAGTCGAAAGTTCTACTAATGAAAATCCGACAGTATTAATATCGGTACACAATATTTGAAAACTGATTTTTTTCGAAAGTTCAGTCGATTATCTAGTCAAAAAAAAAAATCAATGTAAATATCCTGTAGCAAAAGTAATATCTCTTGTGTTCTCTGTGATTTGAGATGGCTCGAGGATGCAGGGTTTTTATGTATGCTGAGATATCCAAATGTGTATGTTGCGGGACAAAAACCTACAAAGTAATGATGAAAAGTGGTCTTGATAGTCGAAACTCAATCTTTTTTCAGAAAGTAAAAAGATCACTTTAGTTCTGTTCAGACGGAGTCAATAGTAGCTGAAATATTGAGAAAGTTTCAGGTATCATAGAAATACTGTCATACACGTTTTATTCAGATCGGTCGATCCAGGTGAACTAGTGTTCTTCTTGTCCAAAAATACTCAGGAACGAGAACAACTATACGAGGGAGTCTGTGGATGTTTTACTTATAGTGAAGAAAATCTGACGTTTTGCTATCTCTTAAATAGGAGATGTGAAGGCAAGAGGAATTGTTAGAACAACATCAAATTGATTCGTCATTGTTTTCACGATCACGAAACGTGTGATATTTCGTTTTTGATTGCCCACGAAGATCATCAAGATCTTCTGATCAAGAATAGTCTACTATGATAAGATCTACTTCTGTTTCATTGTAGCTCTCCCAAATATTTCTCCCAACGCCAGATGGACACAAAACGGCATTATTGTTGCTGGCGGTCACGAAAAAGGCAATGCAGTGAATCAACTTCACCACCCTTGCGGTCTCTATGTGGATGATGATCAAAGTGTTTTGATCGCTGATCATTATAATCATCGAATTGTGGAATGGAAGTGTGGTGCAACAAGTGGTCAAGTAATGGCTGGCGGAAACGGACCAGGAAATCGGAATGATCAGTTGTATTGTCCATCAGATGTAATTGTTGACAAAGAGACAAATAGTCTTATCATCTGCGATCGATACAACCGACGAGTGATGCAATGGCCTCGTCGAAGTGATACTACTGGAGTAGTGATAATCGAGGATATCTCTTGTTTTGGACTAGCAATGGACGATCAACGGTTTCTCTATATCTCTGATTATCAAAACCATCAAGTAAGGCGATATCGACTGGGCGACACGAATGGAACAGTAGTGGCGGGAAGCAATGGACAAGATGAATGTCTCGATCAACTATCTCATCCTCACGATATCTTTGTCGATCGAGATCACTCTGTGTACGTGTCGGACAACAACAATCATCGTGTGATGAAATGGACCAAGAATGCGAAAGAAGGAATTGTCGTGGCTGGTGGTCGAGGCCAAGGAAATGATCTTACACAATTGTCGTGTCCTGCAGGAGTGTTCGTCGATTCCTTAAGCACCGTCTATGTGGCAGATTGTAGCAATCATCGAGTAATGCGTTGGTGCAAAGGAGCTACACAGGGAGATGTGATTGCAGGTGGAAACGATCAAGAACAACACGCATACCAATTAAATTGTCCCACGGGTTTGTCATTCGATCGATATGGCAATCTCTATGTCGCCGATTGGGCAAACCATCAAGTAAAACAATTCTTCATCGAAACAAATTGACTTTGTTTGTTCTTGAGAATGATTTATAGTGAATAAAAGAATACTTTCGTCCTTGTTTATGGCTGTTTCGATCTCCTAACCACCCATACACGGACAGTACATTTTGTAGTCAAAATGTAGCCCAGATCAGAAGCAATCAGAATATGTATAATACATATATATACTAAAGACTTTTACTGTTTATTTTGAACATTTTGAAAGAATGTTATAAAACATCATTTTCGACAAAAATCCGGATTTTTATGATTTGACTAAAAATTATAGAAATATCATGGTCTGAAAGTTTCATTCAATTTGGAAATACTCGATGTAAACGTGGTAGAGATCCCATGGAATACCCCATCGATGCTCTATAATTTAGGTTTGGTTTCTCGTAAGCTTTCTTTCTTGTTTGCAATAATAATACAAATGAAAAGGCACAGTTACATCGTGTATTTGAACGGTTTTATGAAATGCATTTGCTTGTGTCGCCATATTACTTCTGTTTTATTATGACTATATTTCCTTGTATATTGATAAATATTCTTGAAAGGATTCAATACCACTTCGTAAGATATGAGTGTCAGTGTAGGATTCAATTTAAAAATGAATTTTTCTGATGAATTTCTGGATATCTGCGATGTTCACTAGATGATTGGTTGAGTTGATTCATTAAATGATTGATCGTTTCTGTGAGAATTTCTTTAGTTCCATAAGTGGTACATAAACTTCAAAACATTGAGCCAATTAATTTGATTAACATAATAATTTCATTTCAATATCAATTATTCTTCTAAAGTTCTCACCATATTGAGAGCAACGATAATTATCTGTAATCTTGATCTTGTTTCAATTAACGATAAAATTCTTATACGAAAAATTCAATAGACGAAATGGATACAACTGAACGATTAACTAAACACAATGAAACTTTTTCTTGATTACCGATGAAGTTCGGAAGTGAGCAGTAACTTAGATACATCGTTTCGAGTTTATTCGTTCAAAATAACTATCAAGAATAATATATGACAAACCAAAGTAGATGCTGAAGTAGTGATGAAAGTGAAATAAAATAAAATCATCGAAGAAAAATGAAAACAAAATGAAGAAGATAGTTAGATCAACAACTATATGTGATAGACACTTTAGTTTAAAAAATACAGAAGTTTCGAAAAACAAAAATAAAGTTGGAATGAAGATAAGACTTGAATAAAAATATGAGAATAAGTCAGCAGAAAGAAAAATTAAAATCAACAGAAAAGAAATAAACGCAATTAGAATACAGACGACGTAATTTCAAGACTATTTATGATTGCATTATTACTCGTGTGTAGTTACAAATTTGCGCTTGACCTTTCAGATCTATCGACAATCCTTGAATTTTTCAAAGTAATTCTGCAATTATTGTATACAACATGAATTCTTGGAAACTTCCCTATCGAATGATGATATCTTTTTCACTTCCTTTTTACGAGTGATTCAATTTTCTGGATTCATTCCAATGTCTTGCATATTATCATGTGTCTTCAAAGTGATCGTCGCGTCATCTATATTCACAACTTCAAAAAGTGAGTAAGGAGAAAATAACCATTCTTCCTCCTCTGGATGATATGAAATGTCTGATATATTTCTCACTTGAAGACAGTCACTATCAATATTTATGGCAAATAATGTGTTACCGAATTCCTGTGCTTTCTCCATACACTTTGATGTTGAAACAAATCCAGGAAATCGAAAAATTTTACCGATTGTAAAAGATTGTCTGTGGCGATTATTCAAGTCTTTTGCACGATATACTACACAGGGACGCAATGGTGCATTATCATTAATTTGAAGTGTTGCTCTACGAATTAATGGCATCAACTTCGACATTATATAGTCGTCATCTTTATATAGTTGCTCATTGATATAAGTATAAAATGGCTTTACTCCAACTAGTACATCAGAAGAATATGTTCGAATGACATCGTATTCACTTGAGCATTCTGCTAATGCTTCAATTAATTCTTTAAAATCACCACTACCATCATCTAATTCTTGAAGGGACTTGATTATACTCGAATATTTCGGATCTTTTAACGTTCTATCATAATGTTTAAGGAAGTTGCTTTTGTAAAAATCTTTTTGATTAACAGTTGGTACTAATGGATCGAATCTACTCTTCCTCATCGAAAAAATAATATCTAGAATAGGAAGAAATGGGATAGGCAGGTGGCTCGATTCTCCTACCACTTGAAATAATTGTAAGATCACCATGAAAATAGTAACCATACGAAACGGTCATCAATTGAAATCATCAAATAGTTTTCTAGTAATTGTGGAAGTCATTATTCATCGAACTTGGCAATGCTTTCGTTCCAAGCGACTTCACATTATATTAAATAAATCGTTTAAATGTATTATTCTATGACTGCTTCGCGTCATTATTTTGTTAAGAGATATTTAAACACACTTGGTTTGTTGTCGTTACTATCTAATTAAGATCGGAGAAATTCAAAATTCGAGCACTTTTTATTTTTTGGGTTTCTATGCATAGTTAAATGCAATTCAACGAGCTGAATCTGAATATATATACTATATTCAGAAAAAAACTGTTTTTTTATGCCCAAAACTCAAAAAACCTTCAAAAATCCAAGGTTCTGAAAAGCTAGCATTTTTAGAGAAAAATGCGTACAGCTTCTTTACAAAATTTGGTATAGCTTTGAAAGAATTTTTTTCTTAAATTACATGATAAACTGATTCTAAAAATGCAGTTACTGATCATCCAGCTCTTGTGCGTATGTTTGGGAAATGCTGCTTATATCAAAAGTTCGAAAGCAGCGTTTTGCCCCAGGAAAAAGGCATCAAGTCATGTCTAAGTAGAGATAAAGCCTTTATTTCATCATCGTTAGACTCACCATATCGAGCTGATAAAAGTTACACATTTTTTTCTTTTAACTCACTTTCTTTGTTGAGATATGGCCATAATATCAAAATACTACCAATGACCACAAAAAATGATGTCTAAATTTAACCGTTTGAGCATCAAAAGTTGTTTTTCCAGCAAAATCAATATCATATTCGGAATCAGCATAGAAAACTGAGTCTAATAACATAAA